GAGATTATCCCCTATTAGATTGCAGCTCCCTAAAAAGGGAAATGGATGTGTGATCAAAGTCTGGCAATTAGGGGGTCATTACCGCTGCTCCTGGCTGCTCTCTTCGGCACCACCTCCTCCCCTTTGTGGACACCGGCACAGCCTCAGCCCCCTCGGCCTCCTTCAGCCCCCACCAGGCAGAGGCTGAGGCTCTGGGGGCTGTGGCAGGGGCCTGCCTGGGTTCCTACGGGAAGTGCCACTCACTTGCCACAACTGTTTTGTCTGGCTTAGGACCGTCAGGGGCTGGCTGCATGCTGGGGCATGGCCTCAATGGCCAGAAGACCCCAAGCTGTGCTGTTTAAGGACCCTGGGAGGGGACAGGAGGGACCTTCATCAGATCCCTGCAGAGTGTCACAGCACAGGGCATGCACACTTACTCCCTGGGCCCCATGGAGGGCACAGGCAAAGCACAGGGAGGCAGGAAGCTTGGGGAGGTAGTAAGCTCTCTGTCACTGAGGGTGTCCACAAAACATACACTATGGATTGGCTTATCGGCTGCTTCAAAGGCCTCTGTGGACAGGAACACAGCTAGGCAATTTTTAAGGCCACTTAAACCCACTTCTGAGATTCCAGGACCTTTGCCTGCTGAGTGCAGAGAAGCCACCTCATTCACTAATTATTTCACTCATGCATTCATTCGTTCATTCCAAAAGGGCCATTCAAACACATATGAAGTGCAGAGCCAGCATTGGGTTCCAGAGATAGTCGTGAATAAGATGCTACCCTTTCCTCGGAAGATCCCAGGGCCAAGTTTGGAAACAAAGAGTTAAATTATTAGATGGAAAGAAGTTCATCTAATAATAGAAATAACTGACTCTAACTGGGGATGCAGTGGGATGAGGGAAGGGAAACAGAGAAGGTTCCACAAAGATGCTTAAACTGGGTTTTGAAGGATATGTAGGAGTTTGCCAGGCAGAGTCATGTGGAAGAGAATTTCAGGCAGAGGAAAAAGCATGTGTATAGTCTCAAAGGACCTTGTGTGAGAGAGTTTAGAATTTGTCCTGGTGACAACAGCAAGGGCAACAAGTGGGTCCTATTACATTTTAGAAAGATGCTTCTGATTACAGTGGAGAATGGATTGGAGGGGGCAAAACCAAAGCAAAAGAAACCAGTGAGGAGACTCATGGGAAAGTATTGTTCCAGGCAAATTCATCATTTGCGAGCATCACATGTGCACATTAGTATTACCTGGAGAGCTTTGAAAACTACCAATGCCCATGTCCCAGCTCGCCTCATTGGTCTAGGGTAGGGCCTTGGTTTTGGGGGTTTTATAGCCTCCCAAGGTGATTGTGATGTGCAGCCATAAAGAGACCTTGTGCTAACTGCATTCAGATTGTCCTGCTCTTAACTTCACCCCACTTTCAGGGGGATATGTTTGGATGAACAGTTGGCTTTTATCACAGAGGGTTTCAGATACAAAATCCACCCCCAAAAGATCGGCTTGAACATCAGGAAATCCAGAGCAACCACGGAGACTAGCAACCTCCCCTGGACATGCAGAGATTAGACCTGGCAGGCTGCCTAGAGGGCGCTGGGGCTCCCTGGGTGGCCGGAGGGTGAGTCCAGGCTGGAGTCTGAGTTCTAAGAGTTATGTGCAAAAGTGAAAACCACTGGCATTCGAAAAATGGCCTGGGCTGATGGCAAGAGGTATGCAGGGTAATGGAAGAGGAGGAGGAGGGGGTGGGGGAGAAAGAGGAAGAAGAGGAAATTGAGAGATAAGGCCCCCTGCCTTTGAAAAAATGAGCACTTTTCTATGAATACCTTCATGACATTTTTATCATACCCAGAACCAGGTCAGATACTGGTGCCCAGCACCCAGCCCCTGTTTTGCTCTCTTCCAAGATGCCTGTCTAAGAAGGTTGGACACAAAGAACAAAATTCTGATCCATTCATAGCTGGGAAGGCACTTTACTATCCCAGTGGAAGCCCTGGGAAAAGCTAAGTTTGAGAATTACACTTTAGTTCTTAGCCCGAGGAGCCCAGGCAAGGACCTCCTTCCTGTGCCCCTGTGAATCTGGAGTGGCTGAGTCACAGAATGAGCAGCAGTTCCACTGTGTGGATGAGGATCGTGGCCCTGCTTCTAGCACAGCGATTGGCAAACTATAGCCGCAGGCTAAATCCAGCCTAACACCTGTTTTTGTAAATAAGGATTTATTGGAACACAGCCATGACCGTTTGTTTGCTTTTTATCTGTGACTGTTTTCACTCTCCAATGGCAGAGTTGAGTGTGAGTAGTTGCAACAGAGACTATACATGGCCCACAAAGCTCAAACTGCTTGCTAATCCGGGGCCCGTTAAGGGAAAACCTTGCCAAGTCCTGCTGTGGAAAGGACCCACCCAGGCTGGCTTTACACAGGAAGCAAGAAAGGTGGCACCGTGCATGCGCACTGGGCTTCTAACAGGCAGTGGTCCTGCCTGCCAGTAAAACATGGCTGGATGCGTGGCTGAATTTCTGGGCAATCTGGTTACAGATTAGGACAGACCCAGGAGTGAATAGGTGGGCATAGCAAAGCTGGAGTGTTAAGATGAGGGGAAGAACCTCTCTCCCCTGCCTCACGGACAAAGAGCCGTGCAGACTGCATTCAGTCTCAGAAGCAAGGCAAGGGCCACGAGTGGATATTCAACCTGTTCTACCAGAGGCAGGTGGGACGGTAATCAAAAGGTGGCCTGACCTTCATGCTTCTGTGGCTTTTCTAAAGCTGTTCCCACGCCCATAAATGCCCATCCTCCCTCACTATGAAATAACTCACTGCGCCCTCCCCGTGTTTCCATGCCACTGGGCTCATAACTCTTGTCAATCTGCCCACACGTTTGTTGACTCATCTGCCTTGCCTGTGGTTGCCATCCTCTTAACGTGATTGACGACTCCCGTTCCCTCCCTCTCCCTGAGCCCTGGACGTCTATGCCCAACTTCCTACTCGGCATCTCGGCTTGAGTGTCTAACAGACTTCTCCAGCTTTGGCTGCCGGTATTGTTATTGTTATTTTGGCCATGTTGTTAATAAAAAGCACGCAGCGCTCAGTAAGTGCTAGGCACTGTTCTAAGCACGTTGTGTACCCAAAACAAGCACTCAGTTTTTGCCTCCCTGATGCTATCTCTCTCTGTCTCAGTCCATGACATCGCTCTCCACTCAAACCAAGGATCCATCTTCATTCCTCCCTTTCTTTCCCGGTCCGCTGTGCCCTGTGCACATCCCTTCCACGCTCATTGTCCACACTCACTGTCCCCATGCACGTCCACCTGATGGCTGCCCTGTACGCACCTGTGACTTTCTACCTGCAGGCTTTCTCAAGACAGAAAAATGTGCACACTCTGCCTACATAGCACGGCAGAAGTGCTAGGGAGCTGCCAAGAGTTGTCCCCAACCAGTAATAGATGGGGATTGATGGATAAATGCTCCAACTCTCCCCCCACTCTGGTGGACAACTGAGGCATGAGATGTGCCCACGGGAGCAAGCCCTGGTCGCACACAGTGGCACCCTGCTCGCTGATATACACTGTGTTGGCTTCATTCCCTGGACTGTCCCACTTCCCCCATTCTCCTACCCATGCTCCTTGGGATTGCCTCGAAAACAGACTACTTGGACGTGGACTTGTATCTCTGCGTCGGCTTCCTGCGTAACCCAGGTCAACAACATTCAGCTAAACATCCTGCAGGTAATCACTTTCTCACACGTCCACTGCCACCACCCTGGTCCAGGAGTCCAAGGTACCACTGTCTCTTTCCTCTTGCCTATTGTCACAACTTCCTGGCTGGTGTCCCTGCTCTCTCCGGAGCTCTGCTAGAACCTGTATTCCACACATGAGCCAGAACGTGCTTCATAAAACATGAACCAGAGCAGGTGATTCCCTGCCCCAACCCTCTCATGGCTTCCTCATCACTCTTAGAATCATGCCCAGTTCATTAACCGGGAGCAGTGATGCTTTAGACAACCTGGGTCCCCATCTGCTCTAGATGCTTCCATCAATGTGCCCCCCCCCACCTCACTGCAGTCCTCAAATGTGGCCATTTGGTTGCTGCTTGATCATCTTGGAATCTGCTGTTCCCTCTGCCCAGAAAGGACTTCCTACTTTTCTTGGTGTGACTGGCTCATTTGTATCCTTAAAGACTGAAAAGGAGCCCACCCCCATCCGTGGTTTTGCTTTTCACAGTTTAAGTTACCTGTGCAGTCAACCCTGATCTGAAAATGTTAAGATATTTTGAGAGAGACTACAATCACATAACTCTTATTACACTATATTGTTATAATTGTTGTTTTTAATGATTATTATTAATCTCTTACTGTGCCTAATTTAAAAATTAAACTCGATCATAGGTATGTATGTATAAGAAAAAAAAACACAGTATTTGTAGAGTTCGACACTATCCGTGGTTTCAGGCACCCCCACTGGGGGCCTCGGAACGTATCCCCCAAGGATGCTCCGGGACTACCGTGCCTTAAATGTTAACTTCTCGGAGAGGCTCTCCCAGACTGTGTAATCTGAAATAATTCTCACTGGTCATCACTCTCCTATTTTATCCTGTTTTATTTTCTTCATAGCACTTTCACTATCTAAAAATACGTTTGCTTGTTCATTTGCTACATTTCCCAGTTGACTGGAAGCTCAAAGGGGATCTATCTGTTTCTCTGTACACTGGTACCTACAGCAGTGCCTGGCGGCACATGTTAGGGGCTCAGTAAGTGTCTGTTGAGTATATGAATGAATGAATGAACAGATGACTACTGGACCAGACTGTGAGCTCATGACACACAGAGGAATCAGTAACACTTGAGTCAATGAACGAGCAAATAGGTCCATGGAAGGACCAGAGTCTATGCTCTTCCAGGCCCCACCCAAGGACACGCAGCCCTGTGCACTGTGCTCCATCACAGTGGGTCTCAGTTTCCCCAATAGTCCATCTACACCTGGATAAAGCTCCTATCACAAGCCACTCTAACTACCCTGTCCTTGCTTTTTAGGCCTTACCAGAGGGGCAGACAGCTTCGTGGGACACAGCCAAGGAGGACGAGAACCGCAATAAGAATCGATACGGGAACATCATATCCTGTAGGTGCCCTTCTGGGAGGGCCTAAGCTTCAGGCGTTGAGGACATGGGGGAAAGAAGCTATTACTGTTCTTTACCTGCAATTTACTACCAAATATTCCTTTATGTTGCCAGCTTTGGGTCCATCTGCCAAGCTGGGAGCTTTATGTCAGCCGTCTTGTCACCACCCAGCCCCGATGACAGAGTGTGGCTGATCTCAGCCGGAGGGCGCAGGCAGGGATCTGGGTCCGAGCAGAGCAGAACCATGAAGCCTCCTGGCGGAGAGCCTCTGCAGGCTGGGGCTCGCCTAGCATTGCCTGCTCGGCAATTCCCAAGGGTTGCCACAGAGAAGAATTCCCAGTTGCCCACAGCTGGGCAGGTAGCTGAGCATCTAAGTACCTGAGTTCCCCGAAGCTCCTCTAATTCAGAGGAGGAACTTGGCAGCAACTTGGGGTGGGAAGAACGGGAAGGGCCAGCAGCACCTGGGCAGGAGAACACTGCTTGTCCAAGAAGGGGAAGACCCAAGTAAAGATCGGTGCTCAGGAGTCAGAAACTGGCATAAGGCCAAGGGTTTGGGGGGCAGCCAGCTCAGGGCCCAAAGGAGCCCAGGGCTGCTCTGATCACAGAGATTCCACCTGACCCGCCATAGCAAGGCAGGGACTCTAGGGCGAGGGCCTGCACTCATCAGTGCAGTGCTGGTCGTGCTGAGCTTGCAGGGGAAGCATGTTCTTGTGCAGAGCTGGGGCAGGGCATGGCCTTTTGCCCAACACTGAGCGTTACCACTCCTGTAGGCACCCCAGAGCGTGACCTGACGATGTCAGCGGTACATAGTAGTCAGAGTCCTCTGGAGTCAGACTGCCTATGTGTCTATCCCACCCGTGCAAGTTACCTGACCTCTCTAAACTTTAGTGTCCTTGTCTTTAAAATGATGAAGATACTGGAGATAAGGTCACTGCAAAAACGTACCCAAAACACTTGTTCTAGGACCTGGCACCATTACTCTTACCCCATAGGGTTACTTTCTTGAGGTCACTGATGAGCAAGGTGGATATATCACTCCACCTTATTTTAACCAGCATTCACTGAACACCTCTGTGGGGGGGGTGGGTCATGGAATAAGGCAGGTTGGTGGGGAGGGCCAGGCATGACCAGATGTCCAATTTGTAAGGGTCGCTAGGGCAGCAGATGCAGACGGCGGATTAGACTGGGAGAAGCTGGAGGCAGAGGGATCAGTCAGGAAACTACTGCAAGGGTCCCAGCAAGGTTTGATGAGGCCTGAACAAAGGCAGTGTTAATGACTTGGGTGTGACCCATGCACGGTACTCAGTTCTTAGAGGTGAGGAAGAAAGAGGCTGCCATAGAACTGAACGCCATGTGTAAGTCACACACAAGGATGCACTGCCAAATATTGGTATGTGCAGCCTTCAACATAAGCACAGACAGGACAAAGTTATCTCATACAAAATGCTGAGCACAAGTTCTGATTAGACCAGGAGACCAGGAGTCTACAAGGCCTTTGTCTGACTCAGTGTGACCAACCTGGACCTTTTGACATCTCACCAACTGTGTGGGTCGCGTCCCTGAGTCTCAGCTCACAGGGTAACCCGGTTCAGCCCAAGGAAAGAAGAAAGGATATACTGAATGACAAATTATTTCTAGCACAGTTTCGAGTTTTGTTTTGTTTTGTTTTAACTGTCTAGACATTGGCTAAGAAAAAAACTTGGAGGAAGAAAGAGTAAGATACAGGCAGATTGTAAAGGAAGAAAGAGGCAGAAGTTTTAGCTTAGCTGTTTCCTGTGCTGATTTAGGAATGGGCTATGAATGGTGGAACTAATCAGAAAACATTTATAATTTGTCTCTTGAAAGATGGTAATTCAGACAGCAAGATTTCTTGCAAGTGAAGCGTCGGCAAGAGATAGTCAAACCGTCAGCAAATGTGTATTAAGACTTATGACACGTGGGCCTCCTCTGAGCAGACCCTGGGCTGGACACGGGGAGATACAGTCCCTGCTCCCACTCTGGCCACAGGTGGCTGCTTGCTCTGACCTGTCCCCAACACCCTCTGCTCCCATAGCTTGCATACTGTGTGCCCTGACATATCTGCTCACTTATTCATTCTCCCTGTCGGACCGTGAGTTCAGATAGGTCCACAAATTATAGGCTATGTGACCTTAGGCGATGACTCTCATTTTTAGTCTCCGTAAAAATGGGTTTAACAATGTCGTCCTCCTAGGGATGTTGCACAGATAAGAAAAAAAATGACTAGAGGACAGTAAAGGGACCCCAAGTCCTTGAGGGGCAGGATATCCAGGCTGGGCCACATGTCTAGGCCCAAGCCTATGTTGGGGGGGGGGCCTACAGGTCAGAGGTCATGCTATATATCTCTCCAGCCTCCTTCTTTGTTAGTCCATAACTAATTTGGCCCCAACTCTCTACCTTTCTGATCCCTGACAGAAGCCAAAGGACCTCTTTAAAGCATGAATTGGATGATGTGGTTTTCCCACTAAAAACCCTTCAAATGGTTTCCCTTCACTCTTGAGCTCTCCTTGTGGAAAAGCTCTCAGCTATCTTTCCGGGCTTATTTTCCACTATGCCCTCTCCATCCCAGCCTCCTCAATTAAGCCACATGGGCTTCCTTCAGTCCCTTAAGCATTCCATGCCCTTTCATGCCACAGGGCCTTTGCACATTCTGTTCTCTCTATCAAGGTCCCCTTCCCTCCTCTCTTCATCCCGCTAAGTTCTGCATATTCTTCAGCCCTCAGCTCATTCATCACTTCCTTAGGGAATTCTTCTGACCCTTTGAATGTGGTCATCACCCCGTTGTCCACTCCAAGGGCACAAGATATGTCTTCTCCTCCACCCCGATCACCATTCCGACTTGAGAAGCATTTGGAAGCCCGTTGCCACCCCGTCTTCCTCAGTTGGATAGATGCTTTGTGACAGCAGGACCAGGACTGCCTTCCACTTGTGTTTCCCCAAACCTGGCGTCTGGCTGGTGCCCAGGAAATAGGGGCTGAAGGTGGGAAGGACTCGGAAGGGTGTGAGCAGTGGGTCTCCCCACTTTGAGAGAACAGCAGAAAGGATGGATGGAGAAAGGCTGGGTGACACAGCTCCTGGCTCAGATGTTCCACTAGGAAGGAAGATATTAGCCCGAACAAAGAAAGTGCAGAGATGGGGCACAGGAGAGAGAGAAAGAGGAGGCCAGTCTACCTGGCCCCACCAAAGGGCCTTCTGAATCAGAAAGTGAGGACAAAGCCGGGGATGAGAAGCCCACCGCTGGGGCTGTAGAAGAGACTGCCATGTCCCATCTGCATCCCCGGCCTCAGCCCCTCCCTGCGCAGCAACACGCAGCTGGCAGCGTGGGCGTCCAGGGCCAGGACAAGGCTGAGCCCAGCGGGCCACGGGGGTGCAGCACTCAAGCAGACCCGTCGCCCGGCTGTCGTCCCAGTGCGCATGCGCTCCTCCTCCAGGCCTGCGCCCAGGGCCCTGGCGTGTCTCAGCTGCCCTGGCCGCACCTCTGCCCTGGAGACTTGCTCCGAAGCTGGGGCAAGCTGCCTTGTGCCCAGACACAAGGCAGCCTGCAAACTCTGAAGGATCAACACCCCCAGGAAAAGCCCTCAACCATGAAATTCCCTGGCGTCCCCACTGCTCCACGGAAGTGTATGTTCTACACCGTCTCCCCGAGTCCCCGTGGGGATTAGGCTGCAGTCGCCAGCGAAATCTCACCCTGCACTGGCTGCCTTCTCTCCCTGTCTGGCTTCCCCCTTTCCTGCTGGCGTTCCCTCCTCCTCCACTGGCATCCTTGTCTGATGTCTTCTCCTGGGAAACCCAGAGGGAGGCACCTTAATGATATTACCCCGATGGGTTTAAATAAACCTGAATCTCCTTTCTAATTTAAGGGTCAGTCATTCTGCAACAAATCAGGGCTGGCGTGGGCCTGCATTTAGTGCTGAAAGGAGACAGTGCCGAGGTAACCAGTGGATTCAGAAAGCAGCACAATACATAATGAGGACCAAAAAAAAAAGAAAAGAAAAGAAAGAAAAGTGTGTGTGGGGGGGGGAAGCCCTGGAATCGAAATGGGAAAGGTAAAAAAGAAACAGCCCAGAGGAATGGGAAGTGTTCCTGCCCTTGTATGTGTCCCTCCCCAAGGCAAAGCCTGCTGTGGCTTGATAAATAGAAATATTCTTGGCGCAAGAAGAAAACCGGGTGTGATTAGCATCTTAAGGAACCCAGAGCACCGCGAGGCTGGAGTGCAGGACAAAGGCCCCGGCCAGGGAGAGCAGAAACGGATTAAAGGGAAGAGTAGGAGGAAGGGCAATGCCTACAAATGAAACAAAGAGAGACCTTGGCAAAACAGCCCCTTTCTTCCAAATGATTCTATTTAGAACTTAGTAATAGAGACGGTGGGGTTTCTAGGGAATGGAAATGGAAAGGAAGTGGAAGGGAAGGAAATGAACGGGGAAAATAAGCACCAACAGTGCTTTGCTTTCAAGCAGCTCTAGGGCAGAAGTGCAGTGAGGGGGATTTCAAGGATACCAAAGATTGCCCCTGTGGACGTTCTAGACGTGCTCCCTGCATTGGCAGGAAGGAGCCGCCACTGAGAGGAGGAAGTGATCACAGGGCTTGCAAATGGTATAAAATGAGCTCCCTTCTGGGATCAGTTGGGATCCCCGCAGGAAGCAGATGGGAACCTCAAACAGGGTCCTTGCAGGAGAATTCATCAGGAGATGCTTTATAAAGGTGTGATCTAGATGGAGAAAGACTTGCAGGGATGGTGCAGTACCCCAGAGCTAAATTCTACCCCAAGGCCACTGAGGGTAGACAGAGGTTCCTGGGACCCAGAGAGACACAGACAACCTGACCAGAGTTGTGGCCTTTAGTGGAGATTCAGCCACCCATGGTGACACCAACAAAGGGAGCAGAAGGAATAAGTACCTCCATGCCAGGCTCCTCCCTGCACCCCATCTTCTGCCTGTGCTGCCCATAGTCTGACCCCAACCCGCAGCCAGAGAACAGGGGTATC